AAAAATCAATGTCGCTAGGATAAACGCCTAACAACACGTCATTGCAACTTCATTGCAGCGCAAAATCTTGCATTGCTAGCGCCTAATACGCAACGGCTTTTGTTACGAGCGAGCGCAGCGAGCGAAGTGAGTCTTTTCAATATAACGGAAAAATCTCAGTATGAGCGGCCCGGCCCGGCCCGGCCCGGCCCGGCCTGTAACGCTTTTGAGAGGCTTATATCTCAGCAACCGCTGGACCGATTGGCCTGCGGTCTTTTTTGTTGGGTAGCCCCATCCCTTCTACCCCGTAATTGACTACTTTTGATACATCTCAGTGACCGTCGTGGCACTTGCCACGTGAAAAGTCAAGGGTGTTCAAGCTGTTTTGCAAAAGTAGTGATTTTGAGAGGCTCATATCTCAGCAGCCGCTTGGGCGATTGACTTGCCGTAATTTTAGTAGGGTAGCAGCATCCCTTCTACCCAAAATAGGATGCTCTCGATGCATGTGGGACACCCCCAGTGCACGTGCAAAATACAACAATAAGAGGTGCCAAATTTGTTCCCATTTCAGTAACTCGGTAATTACTGGGGCGATTTCGCTGAAACTTGGCATACAGGTAGGCACCCACCAGGCAAAGCATTCCCATGTGTTGCGGTTAGGGTGCTACTGCACGTGCGCACGTGCAGGGGGCGTTTCCAGATCTCGAGAACGGCGGGCCGATTGCGCTCAAATTTGGTACACGGTTGGGGACCAGTTAGTAGGGTGCCGTGCAAAAGTCATTTTGGACCCCGTTTGCACGTGCGCACGTGCAGAATGCCGCTTCCAGATCTTAGGAACGGCTGGGCCGATTGCGTTCAAATTTGGCACACCGCTAGCGACCAGTTAGAAGGGTGCTTTGCGCAAGCCCGTTGGAAGTACCGTCTCGCCCTTCCGCACGTGCAGGGCTCACTATCTCGCTCGCTCGTTCTTCGCCCAAAAGGCGTTTTACTGGTTGTATAATGACCTAATCAGTGCCTTCAATCCAAGAAATTTGCTTTTGAACCCTGTTTTTAAAAATGGCAAAATAACTTTTAGCGTGGGGTAATTTGAACATAGTGTGAGAATTTCGATGAAGACAGGGATAGCTCCGAAAAAAACAACGCTCCCAGTTTTTTTTTCCATTATTTTCGACCCAGAGCAGTTGCAGGTAAGTGATGCCAGTTTTAGAAAATTTACGTCTAATATCCGTCTAATGTCCGGCATTTTCGTTGATTTTCCGTCCAAAAATGTTAAAGTCAACTATTTGTCCAAATATGTCCGAAAATTATGCAGCTATCAACACTCAAAACCGTCATTTATATTGCTTATCATGTAATTTTACCAGCCAAAAAGTGTTCATTATATTGAGAGCTTAACAAGCCTTCCATTCGCCATCAATGCTACGCACGATTACTTGATAAAAATGCTTAAGTGTGGCAGACCATCATCCAATGTTGTCCAGACTACTAGGTATAGGTACCTTTGTGCAATCAATTCCGCATTGGACATTATAAAGAATCGGAACTCCGAATGTCCAGGTTCCGATTGGCACCACTATAACAGATGAAGTAAGGTTTGGTAGAGTTTTTATCCAACGGAGATGATAGACGTTCTGTTAATTGAAGAGAGGCAAATTCTGTCAACTGACCGGTGTGCAGCGTGCAGTTTAGAGTTGCAAAATTTCCCTACCGCACTACCGGCATGCCGGTAATTTTTCACTACCGCAGGTTTTTTCGTGGTATCTGGCATGTCTTGCCGGTAGCATGCCGGTATTTTTGATTTTGCACAAAAAAATTATCAGCATATGATTCAAGCTTTGGACACTAATGCGTGGTTCACACCGGATCCGTAATGACCGTTACGTGCCGTAATGAATACGTCGGCGATTAAATAATATCTTGAAAGTGGAGGGCACAATGCAACGCGCATGCGTAGTTCGATTTTTTGGCGACGTAACGCCGTATTCGTTACGGATTCGGTGTGCACCGGGAATTGCCATGTTGAGCGCCGTCCTTCGAATCAAGTGCGCCAAAACTATTTTGCTTATAAACAATCCAAAAAATGGGCTAAAGCTAAGAGCTGTTTCTTAATATCGGTGCGTCAGAATTTTAATTGGTTTTGCTCTCTTTTTAAATTTATTCCTATCACTTTTGCATAGTGGTTTATAATTGTATTTAGGCATATCATTGTTAATTAACTACAATTGTGGGCATGTACTATACAGAGAATCTTTTATCCTTTTTGGCATAAACAAGAAAACATGCCTATGCTGGTCAACGCTGAAGTTCATTTTCTACACTCGTGAATCGCTGCTATCCATGGGCAAGATCAACGTACGCATCGTACAGTTTGCTCAATTGGCTTGCGAAGAGGCGGTGCAGTGTCCGTCCAAGCATCAAGTCTAGCAGGGGTAATATGGGCAGCGAAGTTGACTCAGAACTGCATAAAAGACGTGGCACGAGAATCTATGTATTAGAATTTATTTTGTGGACTTTGAACTTGACCTGTAACATACCTACATGATTAGGGCTAGGCTAGGCCTACGAAGGAAATGTTATCTTTAAATAAACGAGTGAAATGTAATTACGGAACTTGAATTTTATGTACGTCACTCAAGAGATACAAAGAAGGTTGTGACATACTGAAGGCATACCTACATGAAATAATGCCTAAAAATCAGTCGGTGAGTTGATACGATTTTTTTTCAAGTAGAAAGGTCCGCACTTGCAAGTTGCACACGAGCAGACCGCTACCCGCTACCCAGACCAGCCCAATCAATCGCAACATGTGAGAAGGGGTGGGCACGTGCGCATGTGCCGACCAATACTCTCGCTGACCTTTGCAATCTGCATACTTTATATGCGTGGTGTCATTCAGCATACCAAAGTCCAAATGTGAGCGCTATCGGCCCAGCCGATCCCGAGATATGAAAAAGAAGTGCGCACGTGCGCACGTGCCGATCAATACCTTTGCCGACTTGTGAATTCTACATATACGCATGTTATCATTCAGCATACTTGATATAAGCACTTTCGGCCCAGCCGATCCCCAGATATGAAAAAGGGGTGCGCACGTGCGCACGTGCAGATCAATGCTTTTGCTGACCTGTGCAATCTGCAAATAAACTTGGTGTCATTCAGCATACTTAATATGAGCGCTATCGGCCCAGCCGATCCCAAGATGTCAAAAAGGGGTACGCACGCGCGCACGTGCAGACCAATGCCTTTGCCGATCTGTTCAATCTTCATATGTACATGGCGTCATTCAGCACACCAAATATGAACGCGATCGGCCCAGCCGATCCCCAGATATGAAAAAGGGGCACGCACGTGCGCACGTGCAGATCAATGCTTTTGTCAACCTGTGCAATTTGCATATAAACATGATGTCATTCAGCATACCAAATATGGGCGCGATTGGCACAGCCAATCCCGAGATATGAAAAAGGGGTGCGCACGTGCGCACGCGCTGAGGCAATTCGAAATCGTCCTAAGGTCACAGGATGTGTAGTGTGCACCCAGCCAAAACAACAAACAAATATTGAACCGTTTCCATTCAGCCGTTCCCGAGTTATGGTATGACGAGCTCTTTTGGAACCTCTCTCGTCGCACGTGACACGTGCTGTAACAGGCACTCATGAGTGTTATCAATAGCACAGTTCAGGGTAGAAAGGATGCAGCCCCTCCCCAAAGAAGACCACTCATCAAACAGTCAAACCGTTTTGGAGATACATGTCGATAAAAGTCATTACGGCGGCCGGTCGAGCCGAAAAGTTCAATTTTCCCAACTTCTGTTACGTTCCGTAACGAGTACGGTGGACGCTGCCAGTTTACGGCGGCTGGTTGCCACATTTCAACTTCGTCTACAAAAGTCACAATGCTTGGGGAATCTTGAGAAATCTCTAGCTCATTACGTCCGTAACGGTTACGGCGTCATTACGGATCCGGTGTGAACCACGCATAAGAGGCTATTGAATTGTAATAAGTTGGACAATGGGTGGCTGTTGGGTGGGGCGGTTACTGAAATTGCCAAAATGTGGCATCTCATGTAGGGGTAAGCCAGAATCAAGAATGCAGGTTTTTTAGTATGCCGGTAATTTGGCGGTTTTTTTTGCTTGGGGCGTGGTAGCATGCCGGTATCCCAGAAAATGTTTGTGGGGCGGGGCGGTGCCGGTAGCAGCCCATTGGGAAAACTTTGCAACTCTAGTGCAGTTATTGATACTCTGCAACTGTTATTTTTGTTGTTGTTGATTTTTCAAATGAAGGTATGTTTAGAATTGCTCTGCCTATTCGTTTATGGGTCAAACAACATCGGTGCTGGCGAGACTATCGTGTTTATGGCAGGTAAAGGCAGTATGTTCAAATTACCCCACGGTGGGGCAATTTGAACACACCGTGACTTGGTGGAGAAGTGATGCTATGCTATTCAAGGTATGCTCGGCTCGTCCAAAAATGAGGCTTGCATGGTAAAAGCAAGTGACACATGCGCTACTGAAACAATTTTTCTTCATCCAGGGTTGACCTGGAATTTGGTACAACGGAGAAGACGTAAAAATATGTTCAAATTACCCCACACTACCCTACTTTTGCAAAACTGCTTGAACACCCTTGACTTTTCACGTGGCACGTGCCACGACGGTCACTGAGATGTATCGAAAGTAGTCAATTACGGGGTAGAAGGGATGGGGCTACCCAGCAAAAAAGACCGCAGGCCAATCTGTCCAGCGGTTGCTGAGATATAAGCCTCTCAAAAGCGTTACAGGCCGGGCCGGGCCGGGCCGGGCCGCTCATACTGAGATTTTTCCGTTATATTGAAAAGACTCGCTTCGCTCGCTGCGCTCGCTCGCTCGTAACAATTTCATATACAATTTCATCCTGCAGTCTCCACAGTACGCCAGTGTTGGAAGTGTTGAAAGACATTGGGGAAAAATTCAAAGTTATTAAAAGAGATGTTGCTTCATTCAGCCGTTTTTATCTTCCCACAAAAAAATGTGTCTCAACAGTTCGTGTCAATGGCATTTGTATTGCACACATCTATACGATTATGTCTGCACAGTGCACACATGCCACCTACTGCATATACATCAATGCATCACATATGCGCAGAGCGCACGTTCTCATCCCACAGAAAAGCAGACAAACGTCTCTGATTGATGAGTCATTAATTATACGAAACTTCAAAAATGTCTCGAAATTGAATTACATCGATAATCAATTGCACAGAAACTTAACCAATTTGATATTGCGATTGCGATATATGAGGTTGCGATGAGATTTCTAGAATATTATGCACCTTCCATCCTGACCAACAATCGATGAACAGTAACATTCGATGAGAGCATGTCGTCACGAAAGATAACAAACAGCATCATGGAGCACGGAACGCAGTTTCATGTCGCAGAGTCAGCAATAAAACAAATAAATTAAATGATCCCACTCACATTCACAAGCTTGTACCACCATCTGAAAGCAGTTCCTAGTGCATGCTATTCGTTGGCCTTTTGCAGCGAAACAAACAGAACAGGCCGCCGCTTACAATAATCTCTGCTCACGCCGCTGTTGACCATATACCTACCGGCTAAAAAAAAATGAAATTTGGATTTTTTTCAACACTTCATTTGACTCTTACATGGTCAGGTCACTAAGAGTTTTCAACATAATACAGTTTGCAGAGCCAGCCACCGCTTCTCAAAGCCTTTCTTGGACCGAAGAGTCCGACCGATGAAAGAGTGAACCTCTCTCGACAATTATATAGCCTAAAATGCAGCCCTTTTTAATTCTGTTTCCGGCGGTCTCCCCAATCGTCCTTAGACCGTTCGTCCCGTAGCTGCCTTTCCAGCAAGCTGTTCCTCAACACTCTCATCTTTCCTGTCCTTACCCTCTCCAGATTCGTTTCCAGTCTGCTCTCCAGTGAGCGAATCGGTGCTGCCACTGTCTGTGCTCTTTTGAGACGTGACCATATCTCCATTCGAGATCACTACCGGGTCATGATTTTCGATGTTTACAAGTTTAGGCATCAGCTGCGATGCCGCTGAAAGCAGATCCAAACCACTGCCAGCATTGGATGCAGGAGTACTTCTTTCTGTAATCGAAGGCTCCTGTGGGTCTACATCTTCACCGATCGCGAGCAGGAGAGCATGAGCGGTGATTCGTTCCGAGTGATCCTTCGACTTCAGGGCTGCCTTCAGTATCACAATGGTCTCTTTAGTGTCGGCTGTTGGGCTAACTTTGCTCATATCCGCTTCTACTGGAGAGTGGGATCGTGGTTCGTCGGTCGAGGATTCACTCCGCTGAGTCAAGCGCAGCACATCTTTTGCCCTTTGAGGCTGATCCAGTACTGGTGTACCAAACTTCTCACGTGATGCTGTTTTGTCAAGCACGGAGGCAATGCATGCACTGTTAGCCAGGGAAAGCAGGGACGGCACAGCATCTGCTTTCTTCAGTCTGGGCTGGTAGGGCGTCTCTCGTGAGCAGTTCTTCAGAACACATCGGTTCTCATTGGAGACGGTTGTCAGAAGAGTTGATTCTACTTGGGGCGTCCGAGTCAGCGCTGGAATCTGTTCTTCCTGAAAACCATCGACATGATCATCTCTTGGCTTCGGAAGTCTTTGTTGAAGCTGTAAAGACGTAGGATGCTGTTCTGAGGTTTTCGTGTTTTTGCCAACGCTTTGTTTAGCGATTTGCTTCTTCTTTGCAACGAGGTTTGCCGCCCCTTGTTCTGTTTCCTTGTCGAGCTCTTCAACCGCATCAACACCAACCTCATCTACTGATTCCTCGGGTACATATATTTGCAACACCTCGTTCCGTGTGCTCACATTGATACCGAAGACAGTTGCGCGTCTTTGTGTGGGCACCGCTGCGGGGTCCTCCAAGACGGCTTTCGGCGTGTCCCTTTTGTCCGTGACGGAAGAGCAGGCAATGCCATCGGCCTTTCTCGAGGATAGGTTCTGTTCATCCCCATTCACTGCTGTCCTTCGTTTCGCAGCTTTTCTTCTCCTGTGTTTATTTCTCGACTTCCCTGTTTTGATTTGCTTGGCGTCTTCTTTTCCGATGCCACTCTGCTGCTCTTCCAGCCCCAAACTCTCAGATTCAGCGTGGTCTTCCTTGCTCACAGTGCTGTTGTCAGAGATTCTCTCGGCATTTGTGTTACGCCTCTCCTCAGTTTTGCGGCTAGACTCGAGGCTTTGTGGTTGTTTCGGCGCGCTCACTTTGTCAAGTTGATCAGTACCTCCGTCACATCTGGACCAGACAGTGACATCGTTGGTTTGAAGTCCATTGGATTTTCCTTCTTGCATGTCGATCAGCGCGGGACATTCCTGTGAACGATTTGGCTGCATCGTCCCAGACCTGATAAAGCTTTGAACGAAGTGCCAGTTATCGACCACGTCGTCTTCATTGTCAGCGTCTGAATGAGGTCTATGAGCGCCGACTGGCTTTTGCAGTTCCTCACACTCAGAGCCCTGACTCCCTTGCTCCCCATTGCAGTCTTTCGATGACACTCGTTTGGGCGTCGTCTGGTCTGCGGCGAGGGCATGCCTGTCTGAACCCTCACCCACAATGCTTGAAGACGAATTCGATGATTCGATTCGATTTTCATCGCTCAGCAGTAGCACTTGCCGTGACAATCTGCGCTCGACCTTCGTCGCGGGCTCTTGTGAATTGTGAGGTTTGGCGTATTTGGGCAGATTTTCTAGCTGATCTTCCGCCGCTGACGCTGTGGTGAAACTGCTCACAGATGCGGTTTCCTTTGCTGAAAGGAGCTCCCGGACGCCTTCACGAGATTTTGAGCTCCCACTGCTGATGTCTTTTTCCCCTTTGCTCATCTCCATCAGCCTTCTATCTTCACCCCTCTGACCATCAAGGCTCCTAGTGCTCAGCTCTTCCCTCTCCCAGTTGTCGATTTGTCGAAGAACCTGGCTGAGCGCAGAGGCACCGCCCTCCAGAGCGTTCCTGATCCGCACCCGGCGAGAGCTGTGTCGGACCGGTGACCCAGCCTCGGGGGTCACCAGACTGCGTACCAGCAGCATGGAGAGCGCCGGGTCGTCCTCGTCGGCAGAGAGCGGCAGCGGCTCCTCCCAGGGATCCGTCCAGGAGGACCGCGAGCTGAGGCTCAGGTCACAGCCGACACTGCCCCCGTCACAGGAGTCCAGCTGACAGCCGCGCGGTCCGCGAGACGAGCTGTGGGTGAACAGAGAGTGACGTGGGTCAGCGAACAGAGAGTGACGTGGGTCAGCGAACTGAGAGTGACGCGAGTCAGTGTTATGGATGATGGCCTGGCGATAGGTTTGCGTTTCTCGTACTGAGAGCGCTTACGAGGCCAGAGAGCAATAGCAACACCTAAAAGGAAAACCTGGGACCATGAAGTTGTTGGGGCGTAATTGAATGAAGTCAGAAAACACCTATAGCTGGAAGACACGACACAGGTTGACGCTGCGCTTTCTCGCACATCACGTACAGCCCACCGCTAAAGTAAGGTAGGGTTTTACCAATCTCAACGGATGGCTTTGACCGACGATTTTTAAAATGCGGACTGATTGAAAAGAAGACGTCAATAGATAAAGTTGTAGCTGCAAGGGTGAAGATACATGTAAGCTACATTTAAAGTCTCGTTGCAGACTGGCTGATCGTTCCTAGGCTTGAGAAGCAGAACATACCCATGACTGAAACCACACATTACTTCTGCTGTGGACTGTACCTATCCGGAAACAAACAACCCCCTCCGGTCGCACATCACGTATCCGGAAACAAACAACCCCCCTCCGGCTTCCAGGCCAGAGGCCACGGTTATGCAATCATTATTTCTAAACTAACACTAGTGTTGCATGGAAATATGAAGCACAACGCTCGACCTCCTGTTTCAAAGAGACTGGTCGGGTGTCGGCGTCACTGCGTGCCATTACGCAAAAGTTTGAAAGTCCCAGTGCGCCAGGAGAGAGGTTGCTACACCGTCCAACGCTATAGTGAATGAAGAGTAGCAAGTGTCTGTTGATTTCTTTTTTTCTTTTTGTTTTCAGTGATGGCTGGCTAAGCGAGACTGGATTGAACGTTGACTGGACGCTAAAATGTTTGATAGTATAAGGTACCAATGGACGGTGATGGCACTGAGTCAACTGAATAAACTCCCAGTGCTCGTTTATGATCTTATGTCAACACTACGTTGAAAGGCAGTAAAACCAAGATTTCTTTACTACTCAGTAAAACAGCCTCATAAAGTATAATCATCCGTGAAGGTCCAGCTTTCTTCATCGATACATTCTAGCCGAATCGAAGGACAGAGGCTCTTCCTCTGTTCTGTCCCGCTTAAAATGGAATTACAGTAAATTTAAGATAAATGCGTCGCGTTATGTGTTACGGATACATGGTGAATGATGACACAAGATTTTTCCGGTCAGTGATGACCCTGTAAGGTGAACTCATTGTAGAGGTACATCATTTACCTTACTCGATTGTAAAACGAATGTCTTAAACCCAGTTTTGAACCAAGGATTTATTTCAATGTTGTAGTTTTTTTTTTAGTTAATGTATGTAAGCTCCAAAATCACGGACGGTGGCCCTGTTCTTTTGTATCTCGTACGATATATATTTGCTTCCGCCCGACATGCAACATTTATATCCCATAAACCATTTTTATTTCCGCATCGGGATACAATAATAGGTACAAGATGAACATGGTGTAAACGATAAAAATGCATTTATAAGTTTCAAATTAGATAATTTTTTAGCATTCTCCAATATTTACCTAATCATACGGAATGAAAATGGAAACGCGTTAAAAAATTGCGTTAGAAAATTGAACGCATCGTTATATCAGAATGTTTCCATTGCTTTGGACTAGCATAGAGCTAAAAAAGGAAGTGCGAACCATATAAACTGAAGACACGTGTAACACGGTAACGAAGCATTTTATACATGCAAACATCATACCTGTATGCCATTACTAAGCGAGCTATAACAATTACATGCTATTGTGCGGTACAGTAAAATAAAATTAAATATTCCAAACATGCTGATTTCAGGCTTCATTGGGCTAGACAGTCTCCTTGCGTCCTCTTGAAAGTATATATATATGCTGATGACCTTTTCACGTATTATACCGGCCTTATACGATCTGGCCTGATTTGACCCGCCATACCCGTCACAGACACGGAGCCAGCAGGGTTGGCAATCAAGTCAGACCTTTACCCAGCTACCGGGACAGACAGCGCATCAAACATCGACAAAGTATTTCAGATAACAATAACTATTTTATAGACTTTTGAGCAATTTGCCGCCACTCCGTATCATTAGCTTCCAGACTTTCTCGGGTGTTAAAAACTGTTGTTTCAGCAGCACAGCGTGTACCTACAAACAGAGACTAATGACGCTGTCCTCTAGCTGCTTCGGCGCTTTATTCACAATTTTCATTGTATAGGTCGCCAAGTGCATTTTTACCACCCGCATGATCGTCTTTCAGTTCATTTGACACAAGATCTGGAATCTCATGCACCAGCACCAATACATTCATCTCCCTATGGTCCTTCACACTTTTTGATCCATAGGCGATATTGAGACAGTTGCAATGGCAGTTTTTGCTCCAACTTCTGCGGCAGCATCTACCGCACTCCTTCGGTCCCCCTCTTCAGTTATCACTGTGGCAGCTCTCGCGGAGATCACTGTATGCTCTCTCGGCGCCCAATTAGACGGCAGTCTGCAGAACATCGTTGGGCATTGACTTATCAACACTTGTGGGAGCACCATCATTATTCGGGCGTACGGCACCATTCGCGCACGCTTCCGGAGTAGTTAGCACAACAAATAGCTTCTTTCGCATCCTTGGCAGTAGACTGTGCAGATTACTTCATGGAATTCCAGTTTTCAGATTCCCCAGGCCTCTTATTTGCCCCACTTGTTTCCGAAGTTGCTCTTCTCCCGAGTCTGCTTTCCTCCGCGATGACTCTGGCAGCTCTCTGGGTGGCTGCTTCCGCCGCCTCTAGGGATGTTTGAGCTGTAGCCTCCTTGGACAGTTCGCCGAGGCGGTGGGAGCAGCAGCAGACGTACAGGTTGTCGCTGGGGCGAGAACGACGGAGACATGTTGGAACCGAGGAGAAATACGAGGCACAGACGCGTAGTCCTTGGTACTGAATGACATTTGTACGCGCCGTTGTACACCATACCCAGGGCAGCATCAATGTCAGTCTTGATGATTTGTTAGTTCTAAGGATTGGTTCAAATATTGGCCTCACCTCTTAGCTATGATGTCCTCTGTAGATGCTGAGAGTTTCATTTGCGTGGAGGAAGTCCACTCTTCGTCCTGTAGACATGAGAAACACATCTTAGAGACGGGCACAATCACGCACTCTCAAACGGTTTTCCTGTCAGTCATGGACTTATTGGGAAATAACAGAAAGTGGCATGGCTTACTGTGTCTTGGCTCACTGTGTCTTGGTATACTAAGTATTATATAGTTTCGTCAGCTTGTCCATTAAAATGATATTTGATATTTTTTATTGTTTCAATTCCGTTTTACCGGTCCGTTCTCAATATCCGGCGACAGGAGTTCAACAAAAGCAAAACTTTGAAACGCCACTTTTGTTTTCATTCTCCTCTTTCCATTATTTTATAATTCTGACCCTGACCTTCCTGCATTTTGTGACCCAGCGTATCCCAATTTACTGCCACCACTCGCCTCTGAGCTGGTAGAGTCGTAGTAAGCCGTCGGTTCCTGCAGCTCCACCGCCTCGCTGCCGACCAGGAACAGGTCGAAGGCCCGCTCCAGCACCCGGTGCAGCTTCTCGTAGAGCTGCGCGGCGGCGGCGGCCGGCAGGCGCGGCGCGATGATCAGGGAGAACCGCTGGCCGGCGTCCTCGGCGTACGACTGACCTGACAGCGCCAGCCGCTCACACTGCGGGGAGATGGAGGTCATACGGAGGTCACAATGGACGGGCTGTCACGGAGAGTTCCGCAGAACATCGATATCATTCAAAGCTTGATATCTAAAAAAAAAACTGGGATATGCTAGGAATATAGCGAACTTAAATATGAAAACAAGATGAAGGGAAAAGTTACTGCGATTATACTAACGATAAAACTCAAATGCTGGATTTGAAATGACAGGCTTCGCATGATGAAGCTTAGAAAAACTTCTCATGTGTATTCTGGTCAAGCAAAGAAGAAGATTGACGTGCCTCTGGAGTCTGGGGCCGATTCGAGATGGCGCACTAGGAAGCTAGTAAGACTAGGCGGCCAAGTGACACTTGAATGTAGTGACACTAAGCGGTATTTTACACCAATCGGCTAGTGGCTCAGCGCGAACCGAAATCGCATAGTGACGCTTGAAATCAAGTGTCACTAGGGCCTTAGTGCGCCAACGCGAATCGGTCCCTGGTACTCACCATTTCACCAAAGTCCAGCTGACGAACCGGCTCGACCACAGACTCGAACATGGCGCGGAGCGTTTGCCGCATCGGCGACGACCGAACTAATTTCTGAAAGTGGAGCGACAAGCTGAACAGAGATGATTTTATTGCTTTAAAAACTCAATCATTTGACGTTTAAGCATTTTCAGAATCCAGAGGCCCAAAAACGGCATTAATTTGGATTTAAATCGGTAACCTTTAGCTATCAGTTATCTTAATCGGTAATTTATTTCAATTGGTAATCCCAAATCGGTTATAACTAAGCAAAGCGGTAATATATAGAGATCAAAGGATTCGGTATTTAGAACAAAATATTGAACGAGCCCTCCTCTGCGGCCCACAAGCCCAAACAACTCGGTAAGAGTTTGGCGAATCACCAATCAGCACGTCAACCGTCACAACATAGCCGCGGCTATTTGACTGACCGCCTGTACGTCCCAGAAGGCGCACTCGGACAGCCACATGGTGTGCAGGTACTCTCTGAAGTCCAAACAGCGCAGAAACCTGCCCGCGTCGAGAGCGCGCCGCACCACAGACTGACTGGGAAACCGCTGTACAGGCCTGGAACGAAGCATGCGCGTGCTATGTAAAACCAGAAATGGAGTAGAAAGCACCCTCTTATAATGACAAGGGGCGTTTGAAAATACACCGTGTTACACATTACATAAAGACTATTCAGTTGGATAGGTATGACCCACTCGTTCAAATCACAGTGACGCTCAAATAAACAGAGGCTTATGAGGATCAGTATGAACTCAGTTTCATCTTAACATCCATTAGTCACTTGAACAAACCAAAAGAACAAACGGTCGTATCTCACCCATCTATGTCCAGTCCCTCTTGCATGTGCACCAGGACGCCACAGCTCAGTTCGATTGGATGGTTTGGTGGCACCGCACCGCGAAACATGTCGTAAACTCTTACGAAACCGAGCTGCGTCCGCCGACGTAACGAATGATTCGGCAGCACGTAGAATCTCATCCTCTGGAACAGCTGTGAGACGGATTGTTATAGTGTAATTCGAGTCTTGCAAAGCCCATGAGAACAACGACCTGGTGCACTACAGTTATCGCTTTATCAGTCATTAAAACTCATTGCTTAACATTCACTTATCGTCTCTGTCTGGATCCTTATTTGTTTATATTAAGGGTCTAAGCTTCATCCAGGTCATTAGTCCAGAAAACGGCATGTAAATGAATTGAATTATTGAATTTATGTCATTTTCTAGTACTGACACAAGCCCCGATTCCGGTTACATACGTGGTAGTCGGTGACATCCGAGCCCGGCTGGTAGTGAAACACATCGATGAGTGCAGGAATAGCGGCATCGAAGTCATCCTGACAAACAGCTGAAAAGGGAGGGCACGGGACCGTTGAACACACACGTTAGGTACAGGGTGTCTCAAAAGTTCGTTCACAGGTACCAGCCATGCTTTTTTGTCAATAATTCTGAATCAACAAGAAATTAACAGTCGAAATTTTGCATGGGCATTGGTGACAACCTTCCTCAAGCAGTCTCATTGTTTTCAAGTGCATTCGACCCTTCATGAGCTCACAAAAAGGGTTCACCTCTGGCCATCGGTCAGGCACGAAAATGTAGGTTACAAAGTCGGGTATGTTGTGAAACTCTCTGTTTCAGGAGTAATGGGAATGGTTAGGTCGGAAATGACACATGGCTAAGTGTCGGCGAGGATGAGTGCAACATGATGATCATCTCATAAAAACGGTGGCTAAAATTTTTGAAGGACGAAACCATGCGAGACTAACGGCGTTTTGAACGACCCTCGCACGACAGCAGACTCGTGTTCCGGAAAGCAGCTGAAAATACGGTCATAACTATTGAAAAATGGCAAGAAGGTCACAGACAGAGGTTACCCATTTTCAAAAAGTGCAGGTCATCGTAAAATAAAGACAAATTATAATTTAAAATTGTTTATAATATCTATAACGCTAATTTTTGGGGACAATAACACAAAAATCGTCAATGCCAAGGACACCTGACCCTCCAAAAGTGTCAGTTATTGTAGAATTTTATCTAACGAAGTTTCAAGAGGCAGATCTGCAGCGAATAATTTTCTTTTAAACACAAAATCCCGATAAAACCACACGATGGACAGGTTTGGGCCGTTTACAAAGCAGAACATCTCCCGAGGAAAACACTCCGCAACTGAGCGAAGGTCTTGGCATGGTTAATGACGAGCGCTTGGAATTTGCAAAATTTGCACAGTGTGTCTGAGAAACAGACGTCCGACACATTCTGCTACCATATGATGCGAAAAATTTACTCCTGGCACTTCCCGTTTGTTCAGGACTGGGGTCGTTTTGAAAAGGGAAATGGCGCTTGGGATGTCGGCGCCAGTCATTCATGAAGGAGTTAGCGCCAGAGAATGCCTACAAACTACTCAAGAATGGTGTCGATGCAAGCTGTCGGCTTTCAGGGAAAATCAGATGTTGCCAAGGAGCTAGTCAAAACTAAATCCGACGCAGAAACTGCAGGGGATTCCCCTGCAAGAGCTTGAAAGCTGGTAACCTTTTATCAGCCTCCGGCAGCTGACGGAGCAACAAAAATCGGTATGGGCAATTTTTTTTTTGAAGATACAGCAAAGGGGTTGGTTTCCAACCTTCTTAATCAGTTGTCAAAGCATGCATATTTGTCTAGTGTACACACAGACACCAAAACCTTATACTTTTGGCCGGTTCTTATATGCTTCATTGGCATGGGAAATGTGTGAACGAACTTTTGAGACACCCTGTACATATCGTGGGAAACGAACATTCATAAAGTCACGACTTATGCGACATTAAAATTAACTCCTTAGTCCTTACCGAATTGCATTTTGTTGCACGATAAAATAAGTCACGCCAGCACTATAATCCGTGCTACCTTCCTAGCCAGAACTGCAGTCTCCTCTCCGCCGCCGCTGGTAACTGCAGCGGTACATAGCAACATAACACCAGCGGAGGTAGGTAATGAGAAGTGTCGAAGCGGGAAGGCGACTTGGAGATTGGAGGAGAGCGGCTTTGATTACTAGCTGTGGTGACCAAAATACATGGGCCTCATGTCCGCTCAGTGGCGCGGGAACTTATTCCAGACGGGGGGGGGGGGGGGCTGAACCATAATAGAGATCAGTCTAGGGTACCCGTAAATCTAGTTTTCTCACCGGTTTTAGGACACTTATTTTTCAAACCTTGGCCTTTTCAACAAAAAAACGAAATTATTTGCAAAAAAAGTCAGGTATTCCGTCTCAGCTGAGTGAAGAAACTAACGTTTGGCAACCTGGAATAAAGGTTTTAATCTGCCAAATGAGTTGCCGAGCTAGTGAAAGAGGTGGATGTTTCACTTAGGCGTACATGCTTTCTTCCTTTGTGACCCACAACCCCTAATTTGGGGAGAACAAGCTGCCCCAACGGTTCCTGATCTCATGAAAAGTTGTGGGGCACCGCCCCCACGGCCCCAGAGCTGTGGGGGCAAGCTTCCCCCACTGCCCCCTCCCCTGGTTCCCGCGCCTATGTATGACTCATGAAATTATGTTGGTAGATTTCCGAGTTCGATTCCTCCAGCTGGGGGGGGGGGGCTCAAATACATTACGAGGCCCCCCGCCGAAAAGTTGGAGAGGCTCAGCCCCCGCTAGCCCCTCCTCCCCTTCCCCCGGTTCCCGCGCCACTGTGTCCGCTACCGACGACATGCTGCTGCCTGCTACTGTTCCGCACGGCAGTTGAGCCCTGCGGGACAGCCTAATTGCCAGGCGTTTTATCTGTGGCCGTGCCGGCCGACGCAGCGCGAAGCGAGTTGAATAGGATTTAGATACCGCTTCATATTTGATCTCCAGCTCACTTACAAGGAAAAGATGTTACAGACATTGTGAATTGTCACGGTATGGTGTATGTTTTAATGAACCAAATGAGTGCACACAGAGCTGGCAATAATGGCCAAAAAGACACAATTGTATAACCTGTGACGGTAATCAGTCATGTGAGCCAGGGTACAGTGACTTAGGATGTGGAGTGTGGAACCTGTAAAGCAAAACCTGTCCCAGAAAACCCCCAACAAATCAAACCACAGCATCCCATGAAGTAATCAGAACAATGATAATCAGCACTGGCGGTCCGGCGGATCTCGGGGGGCGGGTCGCATCGCATTCGGGGAAAATGCCCCCTTGCAGTGCCAGAAATCGGTTAAATTTTGTCGTTTGTCCAGGACGGACAAGAAACTGAACACTTTTTATAAGATAAAGTTTGCTTTAAACTGCATAGCAGTGCGTAAGGAATCTTAATCGGATTTTGTTTTATTTGGAGAAACTTTTTGGGGTATGCCCCCCTCCCCCGGCCCCCGCAGCGTTCGAAACCGACTTTCTGAATCTGTCTATGTCTATGATGAGCTTTATAATTTACATCATGAACGCTATAATTTGAAGATTAGATACACCAAAATTATAACGAAAACAGAAGCAGCCTGATACTTATAACCGCGGGGTAAGACCTACCTTGTTTACTCCCGCCGGCTCCAGGACGGCCGCCTCGATTGTCATTTTTGCACGACTGTCTGGAGGCATCTTCTTTGACGTTTTTTCTCCTTTGCTGGTGCCCTCTTCTAGGCATGGCGACGCCAGTAGTGCTTCTTGTGGGAGTCGCTACCTGTTGGTGTGTAATAAAGCGGTAATTTACAAATCCATTAACGCTAGATTTAAAAACATCTCTCTTTGGTTCAGAAAGGACGGATTATTTTTTCATAAATATGCAAGATATTACAACAAAAATTACCCGACGTTTCGTTTATTATAACTTTTTCAAGGGTAATGAAAAATGACGTACCCAAGGGGCAAGAAGGGGGGGGGGGCACGGGGGCCACCTGGCAACTCAACGGATTATTTTGTTTGCAATCGATTATGCCAGTTCTCGTTGCAATTAATTGGTCTTTAGATAAAGTAAGTGGAGAAGCTGATCTCAACCGAATCAATGCTCGGCCTTCGACTCTGACTATCAAACTAACGGCGTGCTTAGGGTGGCAGTTGTTAATTCACGAACTGCGGTGTGCAATGCACACTGCACACTGAAGAATGCACACCATGCATCCTATAAAGTTCTATTTTTTGTAGGTATGATAAATTTGAACGATTTTAAAGTTGATAAAATCAGAATCTCTGTAGTTGTGAATTCAGCAGGCATGCAATTTTGAAATAAAAAGTCTTAACCCGCTCCCCGTTGGGCTATTTGCGGACCCTTCCACCCGTTGTCCCCCCCCCCCAGATCTCGGAGACTTACAGACCGATTTTGAAAATTTAAGCGGCGTTCGATAGCCCCACCAGGGGTCTACCTTGTGACCAAGTTTCGTTGACTTAGGTGCAACCGATGACGCCACAGGACTGGATCAAGGGTCGCATTTCCCCCGATTACGGGCCTCCTAAGGAATGCGTTATAACATCGAATAAAAGGCATGTTATCGAAAAGCATCAATGCAGCGTTCGCCTAATGCAGCGGTCGCCTAATAAGTATGCTGTTAGATCACTGATGCCAGGTCCGGTCACAAAGGGTCACAATATACTCAACTATACTATACCTACTATATTATAGGATGTTTTATGGCCAACGTTACATTTCAAATTCAATGCTGTGGCCTGTGGGTTACACGACGAATAGGGCCAGTTCTGTTCTGGTGGAGGTCAGGTCAAGGTCCAATAAAAAAGATCAAATTTCAAAGTTGACATTTTTGCATATAAAGGTTATCTAATATCTATTCGATGCAGCTCATCACGAGGAATTCAATGGGGGTCTTTCTTTTACTCTGCGTGGTCTAAAACGGCTAAAAATTGAGTTTGAAAATTTATGTAGGGGTGGAGACTCGAGCCCGGTCCTGTGGGTCTGTCGCTATCTCCCCCTTTATCAGCTCTGCTACTTTACTCTACGTGACTAGTGTTAGGCAGGGACGTCCCCCTTTGTGCCGTTAACCCGTCTGCCACCCGGGCCACTGTCATTCTATACATGCAACTACTGTGGGGCCGTTTTACTCGGGTGGTTCAGTGGTGAATGCTCGCCATTTGGTAGCCATGTAAGCAGCAGCGCGGGAGCATGCACTGACGGAATACATGATACTGCACGGTGCTCTCAACAAGGACAGGAGCTCGAGCATACTAAGGCAATGGGAACATTACTTTACCGCATTGAAGCTACCAGGCATAATACAAATGATGACAACAAATGGAGTACAGGGTAAGAGCTGGTATAAAGTTTGCAAACAAGCCATCAACGCGTATACTAAAGCAATGATTATAGAAGAAGCTAGCAAGAGACAAACTATACAGTGGATCGCCGATATTGCACAAAATATGGAAGAATACGAGCCAGCGAATCAATTCTGGCCGAAAAACAGACTAAGTGTTATTGGCAGACAGGCGACAGGCACGAGGATACGACTTCTAACGGAGCAGTCGCTTCTTGCCACAGGAGTCTTAACCTTCCAGGCGGTGGGGGGGGGGGGGGGGCAATTTTTTGCCCCCCCTTTACTTTTTTCGATATATCTCGAGAACCGCTGCGCCGATCGTCACCAAACTTTCAGTACCCTCCCGGGAGCAGCTAGCGCACATGGTGACCAAAAATTTTTCCAAAGGCTATGATAGGTTGGCCGCTAATGACGTAAGAGTGACGTCATTTTTGCCATTTTCGACCCAAAAAAAGGTTTCGCGGGAAGAGCTGTCAGGCCTACAGCTTTAGAGATACAGAAAAATGTTTTAGACATAAAAGGTGTGGAATCGAAAGGGCTACAAAACTGCTATTTCGGTTTTTCAAATTTTTTGGATTTTGACCCCCAAAAATCACAAAATAAATTTTTTGAATATAATAGCCAAAAAATCCAAAAAGTTTTTTGAATTTCGAAAAAACCGGAATATATGTGATAGTCCCTACCGCCTTCTATCTACATACCAAATTTGAGATCGATACCTCGTTTTTTGGCCAAGTTATAGCGAAAAAACTGTTCAAAATTGATGACGTCAAATTTTCAAACTCAATTTTTAGCAATTCTAGACCTCGTAGCGCAAAACAAAGACCACCATTAGACTCCCCGTGACGAGCTGCATCGAATCGATACCCATTTTGTGCAAAAATATCAACTTTGAAATTTGACCTTTTTTGACCTGACCTTGACCTGACCTCCACCAGAAAGTGACCTAAACCGTACCTGATGCTCTTATAAACAACACCATTGAGTTGGAAATGAAAAACTGGCCATAAAACATGCATCACATAACCTTAGTAAAGTTGGGCTCATGTGGTGACCCTTGGTGACCTTTGGTGACCTGACCTGTGACCTGACCTGGTATGACCAGTGACCTCTAATAGCAACATATGTACTAGACAACTGACGCCTTATCGCTGATTTTCGACAAAATGCGTTTTACTCGGTGTTATAGCGCTTTCCCTAGAAGCCCTGTGAACGGTGAAACATTTTATCTTTGACCTGACCTGTGACGTCATCGGTGACCCCGAGGTCAATGAAATTTGGTTTCCCTCGACAAATTTGACAGGTCTATCGAACGCCGTTTGAATTTTTCGGATCCGTCCAGTAGTTTCGGAGATACGGGGGGGGGGGCAAAAAAGTGCCCCCCCCCCCCACCGCGTGGAAGGTGGCTGGTAGGCCCACCGCCTGCCGGGTTAAGAAGGCACGCTGAGCGAAATGAGATCTGTCCATTATGCATGAAAGCAACAGAAACTCTTGAACACTTTCTTTATGAGTGTGTGGAACTGCGGCAAGAACGTGAGGAAGGACAGAGGAGGTGGAATGCGAGGTTAAATAGGACTCTACCTGCGAAGCTGACTGTCCGCAATGCTGACTCAGAAGAGGCCTTGTTGATCAATTACCTATACAAGACAAGGATACAAAAGGAACTGCAGTCTGCAGGTCGACAGCAGTTGAAACGAGCAGGACAAGAAAAGAATCCTGTCCTCATCCTCCCAGTCTCTCCTTGCCCGGTGCCACCACTAGCGTCTTGCACAGTACCTAACGTAAAGGCTGAGATAAGGAACAGCAGAGGGTCATCAGGGAGGACAACCTGATGGTGCACCCGATGGGTGGAACCGACGACTGAGAAGGTAGCCACGCGGTTGGTAGCGTGCTGATGGGTATACTAATCTAATATGCACCAAACACTTAGCCACTCAAAGTCAAACTGGCAGGACTACAGTGCCGACTGAAAATGCTCCCGCTCTTTCATTCCTCCTTCTCGTGAAAAACCTCCATGTAAAGATGCTATCGATTTAGCCCCAATGTATTTACACCAAAATAGTAATGGACTGCCATGAGAAAATAAACACATCAATAAGGCCGCCAAAATATGCGCAAACTACCCTATCATACACTAACGCATTCGCAATAAAAGGTTAACCGCCTTCCCTTGCTCCAAACTTATCTATAGGAAGACCTTTGAGCCCGCATCTTCCTCGTGCCCAGGGACCGCACCTTGAAACCGAGCCAGCAGCGGTGATTCGTCGGAGGGGCCTCGGAGCAGCGCACTCAGCAGCGAACTGACACCGAAGGCCCCGCTTCACTCTCATTCACCGCTTTTGTACTCGGCCCGAGGCGGTAGTGCGTTCTAAAAACAGGCATGAGGCAAAGGCCATGTCCTTCGAACGCACCTGGCACCCAGGCACTAACGCACCGACAGTCACCGTCCCCCCGACACACGCATGAACGGCCAGTCTATTCTGACCGTCTACAATTTGGTGACACCTGACGGTTTTCAAACTACGGGCGCAAAACAATGCCGCGAATTTAGACGACGAAGACATTTAACGTAATAAATTTTCAGCAGTTTCTTTCGCCATAATTTGCCAAAAATGTACATAAATGTAAAAATGTAGCTATTGAGCTCAAATTTGGCACGTCAGTAGCAGACCGATAGTGATATAACATGTGTTCCGTTTTTCGAAATTTTGAAAATTCTGGTATTTTGCGAGATGTTATAAAAAAATCACTTTTAGTTTTGGGGATCAGAATAAAAAAAAATCGACAATTCGACAAGACATTTTGGAGCCCTGTTAATTATACCTACACCTTTGCTACTTTGAACATTTTCTTTATCTCCAAAACTGCAGGCATAGGTAACAGCTCTTCCTGTAAAACGTTTTTTTGTGGAAAATTGCAGAACATGATGTCATTCTGACGTCATTTGCGACCAACCCATCATAGGATTTGGGAAAAGTTTTGATCACAATATTGATGCCTGGAGAGGTCCTGAAAGTTTCGTGGTGACATCTGCTAAAATTTGGGAGATATCGACTGAAAAAGAGAAGGTCCGTTTCGGCCCCCCTCCCCCCACCTCAACGGGGCGCGGGTTGAGTGAAATGAGAACGATCGTATGTGGAGGTTTGTGCCTAGCTAGGGGTGCATGAGCTCTCCAAATTCCACACTGGCTTGGCTTTGGTTGCCGGTTGGAGCCGCAATAGACTGCATAGGTCAAGGCCACCGCTATAGGGTGGCGGTGGATTTGCTACGCCCGGGCACCCCCAGCTCGGCACAAAGTTCCACCTATGGGAACGATAGTAACAAAATAAAAACAGCACATAGCTGCATATCAACTCTGCGTTTCCCTGACGGCGCTGTCGGTGTCAATAGCGACTTTACAAACCATAGCAAAAATAATCAAATCCAGGATCATTGCCTACTTACCGTAGAGTGACGCCTTCCAGCTTTCCAGCAATGTTGCCCTTCCAGCCTAAATTAAAATAACAATGTTTAAAACATCCGCGACTGGGCAGCCCAAGCGTCAGCCCCTCCACCCGCGCGACCGACCGCGACCCCGCCCTCCGCCAACTGAGTGTGCGGACTGCGCCGCGGGGCACACGCCACGGGCCGGGTCACTGACCGTACTGGGCGCAGAGGCGTGCCCAGTCCTGTGAGAGGGGAGGTAAAAGCATAGGCGGCGGAACGGGAGGGCACCAGGGCAACGTGGCCCCCTTTGATTTTGGCATTTTAACATTAGCCCTATGGGCGTTGCATGGAAAGAATGGGACCAAAAGTCGGCAGTGCCCCCCCCCCCCCCCCCTTAACCCTCGCCCGCCGCACATGGGGGGGGGGTGGTTGCCACCCCCCAGGCAGTCTTTCTGCTCTGCACTCAACATTTTTAGAGCTAGAAGGCTGATTTTTCGTATAGCTGCTCGTCTATTCTTTCTTGATGTCCACTGAAAATTTCAAGTTTCTGTGATTTTTTGTTTCGGAGATATGACCTTGTTTTTCAGGTCATGTCATGACCCAAATGGCCAATTCTCAACATCTTGCGTTTGCCATGGGCCTTGTGAGCTTTTGACACCCTGATTTCGGCCTTTTTTGCCAGTCTTACCTCCCACCTATCATGGAACATGTTGTTCGACGATGTACAGGGGTCAAGGTCAGGGTCAAGGTCAACCTAGGTCATCTAAGATAATTGCGTTTTAGGCAAGCTGAATTTACTTTTTGTGAAGTTTTTTGACTGCATTTTTGGTAAAAGCTTCTCAGATCATGATTTCATGTGATATGGACCCAAAAACAATCGGTGCACACATCAGTATACACACAGACACACACAGACATACAAACACATATAATTGACCTTGACCTAACTTGACCTGAAATGACCTCAGCAGCAAAATTCTCGTCGGATAGTGTGACAAAGAGGTTCTAGCTGGCTTGGCACCAGAAAACAGCATCGTTATCGGTATTTGATAAGCAGCGCACTTGATATCCAACGGTGACCCAAAACAGCAACATTTTTTAGTTTGACCTGACCTGGAAGGTCAAGGACTGACCTGAGAAGGTAAAACTGGGTATCATTGGATTCGTCTCTTCCCAAAGAATCTTTTTGGTCTTTACTGCTAAGCTCTATCTCCAACAGGAACGAAATGGCGCGGGGGGGGGGGGGTGGCAACCACCCCCCCCCCCCCCATGTGCGTTCTAGGATGGGAAAATGGCATGTGCGGGCGAGGGTTAATTGAAAGTGTTCCGCCGCTTCTGTGGTCAAGGATGTTTGGTGTTGACAAGGATGTTGCCGTTGCGATAGGCTGATCTGAAGAACAGTAGAGGAAGGGCAACGAAACTGAAGCTAGGAGTTCATCCAGTGTCGCGGGAACTTCTTCCAGACTGGGGGGGGGGGGGGCTAAACCATAATAGAGATCAGCCTCTAGGTTACCCCCAAATCTAGTTTTCTCACCGGTTTTAGGCCACTTATTTTTCAGACCTTGGCCTTTTCAACGAAAAAAAAAAACGAAAATATTTACAAAAAAGTGAGGTATTCCGTCTCAGCTGAGTGAAGAAACTACCGTTTTGGCAACCTGGAATAAAGGTTTTAATCTGCCAAATGAGTTGCCGAGACAGTGAAAGAGGTGGATTTTTCACTTAGGGCTTTCTTCCGTTATATTGTGACCCACGACCCCTAATTTGGGGAGGACAAGCTGCCCAACGGTTCCTGGCCTCATGAAAAGTTGTGGGGCACCGCCCCCACGGCCGCAGAGTTTTGGGGGCGGGGCAAGCTTGAAGCTTCCCCCACTGCCTCCTCCCCCGGTTCCCGCGCCTATGTATGAATCTATGAAATTATGTTGGTAGATTTCCGATTTCGATTCCTCCAGCTGGGGGGGGGGGAGGGGGGCTCAAATACATTACGAGCCCCTCCAGCCGAAAAGCTGGAGGAGCTCAGCCCAGGGATGTAATTTTATATCTCTTTGTGGGGGCATGTGCACCACCAATCCTGAATTATGCCCCCACAATGATGAAAATGCACCCACAAGTCTTTTACAAGGCTGCAGGCGTCCTTTCAAGAGCACGGCGCCCTTCGCATGCTCTAACGGCGTCCTCCTGGCCGTCTCGCGTTCATGGATAATATAGCGTTTTTAATCACTCGGCGCCCTTCTGGGAGAATGGCGCACTTTTGACAGCACCGCGCCATTCTCATGGTCTGATGGCGCCCTCCTGACCGTCTTGCGTCCTTAGGTCTCTGTTCACCGTGCATCCCTCGACTGTTCAGCGCCCTTCTGGCCTCTCAACGCCCCTGAACCACATAGCGTTTTCAATCACTCGGCGCCCTTTTACGAGAATGACGCCCTTTTCATGATCTCAAGGCACCCTTGTAACCGTCTGGCGCCCCCACGTCCCCACCAACGTAGCCAGGGCTGCGGAGTCGATGGATTTTCGGCGACTCCGACTCCGACTCCGACTCCGGCTTTCAAAAACAAGCTCCGACTCCGACTCCGACTCCGGGCAGAATTGTCGACTCCGACCGACTCCAACTCCCGACTCCGACTCCGCAGACCTAGCAGGGCTGCGGAGTCGACAGATTTTCGGTGACTCCGACTCCGACTCCGGCTCGGGTTTCTAATATCGACTCCGACTCCGACTCCGACTCCGGTCACAACTGTCGACTCCGACCGACTCCGACTCCGACTCCGATTCCGCAGCCCTGAACGTAGCATTACTGACTGTGCGGCGCCCTTCTGGCCTCTTAGCGCCCTTGGACCACATAGCGTTTTCAATCACTCGGCGCCCTCCTAGCAGAATGTCGCCCTTTTCATGGTCTCACGGCGCCCTCGTAACCGTCTGGCGCCTCTACATTTGGTGCCCCTCCTACTCGATGGCGCCCCTCTACATGGCTTTTTTTACGTCCTTCCGGTCAGTTTCCACTTTTTAGCTGGGCACCCACAATCATTTTAGGAAAATTACACCCGTGGCTCAGCCCCCACTAGCCCCCCCCCCCCCCCGGTTCCCGCGCCACTGGGTTGGGTTCATCGGATGACAGGCAAAATTCTCCTTCAGCCTTACGCATCAAGGTCGAAATGCAAAAATCCCTTTACTACTACATTTGGCACCAATATGGTAGTGATACGATAATGGCGCAGATATGCGAGCCTGCGCCGAATGCTAGAGGTGATAAAATTGTTTTGTGTGTTTTGTGCGCAAAACAAATAAGATATTTATTAGGTAAGTATCGAATATCATCTTTTATTATTTTACGGTAATTTCAATTGAGATTGACACCCCTTTCCTTACTCATTGTCATAGACCCTCTTGCCTGGTCTTCTTACCATGAACTTGAACTCAAATTGAAATTCTACCCGTGGTGCATGTCTTGCTTGTGCTTGAATTCTCTGAAATTGAAGTGTAAAAATGTGTGCCTGTGTCACAACAAATTGTTTCTATATAAAAGCATTTTTGATATGCACATCTCTAAATTCAAGCTAACTTCTTTTGAAGTCTTGTCCGAGCTCATCATCTAGGTCGGTTGAGGTTGAGGTTGGTCTTAGGTAGGTACCTTTGCTGTTGAATGAATAAAGTTGCACCGGGTAACTATTCTAAAAAATAAGTTAGAGGCTATAATGAACTTCGATAAGAAAAAGTAGGGTCATATTTCCTTTTTTGCACCCTGTAAAAACTGGACTAATTGGCTAAATGAGAATATGAAAGGAAATAAGTAGGAACACATCCTTCTAAGCTTAAAATTGAGAACAGGCTTTGATACTTATGATGCTTTTTACACAAAACATATGTAATTTTCACCTGACCACACATTGAGTCAGGGGTGTTCCGTGTTAGTATTCAAAAGGCCCGAGCAGGTTGAAGGTTGGTAGGTTGTCGGTTGGTAGGTTCTAGGTATGTAGGTTGTTAGGTTGTAGGTAAGGAGGGGAAGTAAGATCAGGTCAGGTATGGTTAGGTTTTGTTAGGTAAGGTTAGGCCAGGTTTGAGGTTAGATCAGGTTTTGTTTTTCCTGCTTGTAGTGTAGTACACCTGTTTTTCAGGAGTAACTTGTCCTAAAAACAATTTTCTAGGTTGATAGATGGTTTGTGACAGTATGAAGATGAACATGTTCAACTAGTCTTTTTGTTTGATACCTTCAAAAAAGGTAGCCAACTGCATGCATGCACTAGTACCTAATGTATCCAGTACCTATCATAATATTATCAAACCAGAGCACAGTTTTGAGTCATTTTTCAGTATTCTGCAGGGTTTTCTATGTTTGATTCATTGCATTTCTTGGCCTCTCAGAAAATTGCATAGATCATGTAAATTCAACCAATGAGAAGCCAAAAGAGCCTGCAGCCTGCTGATTGAAAAGTGCAAAGGAACAGCACCTAGTGTAAAAATGGAGCAATCACATAAGTATAATTGATTACTTTGTGTGAAAAGTTATTTTTTATTACATATACTCTACTTCTTCAGTCTTGTTTTTAAATCTAAGCCTTATATTCCCTTTTACACTCATTTTAGTTATGGTTTCAAATCCAACTGGTCTTTTAGCTTTATTCAGCTCACATTTTCTAAAATACCTCTTTTAGGTAATGGACAAGATACTGGATAGTCTATTAATGACCAGTGCAGTGGCATAACCTCACTTGATACTTATAGTTTGCCAAAGCTTTGTAAGATACTAAATGTAGGCACATTGGCAGGTCATTAATAGCAACACGAAAATTGTCCCTTGCTGAGTCATACATAAGTTTACATATGTTATTGTTTGCACAAGCATTTCCAGCTGTTCTGGAGATTGTCATCATTTTGGCATCATTTCAACACTGACATTCATCAAGATCTGGTGATGAAAACCTGTTAATAGCTAGTGAAGATGTCTCAGAAGATTGAAAGCAAATAATTCTGACTTGCAGATGCAGCAAGATGACAGAAGCACTAGACTCTGAAGTTATTTGTATTGTGCACAACATTCCCAAGACATTTCATTCACGAGACCTGCGCAATTACTTCTCTCAATTTTTGGAGAAAGGTGGCTTCACCTGCTTTCACTATCGACACCGGCCTGAAGTTCAGCAAACGTCCTCAGACGCCCAGCAGCCTGCTGTTAGTGGCGGAGAAGTTTCATCACTTTCATCGGACACCATCGATCTCAGCGCGGGCCAGGCCAGTGGCCCGTCGGGTGGCGAGGTCGGAACGGGTCACAAGCCACAGCGGTCACACGTCGCCTGCTGTGCCACGCTCAAACTGCCCGGCCGCCATCTGGCAGAGTTTCTCTCGCTCTACCACCGCAAACACTGGGTGGACAGTGGCGGCAGCTACCTGAGCCGACGCTGCTTCATCTCGCGCCTGCGCCTGCCGGCCGGCCCCGATGGCGGCGCGTCGCCGGCCGCTGCTGAGCTGCAGACCATGATCGAGTTCCGACCGCCTGCCGACATGCCCCGCGGCAACGTGGGCACGCCGACCGCCTACTTCCTAGCTGAGATCCAAAAGTGCCGGCTGCCGGCCAGCCTGGTGAAGCGACTGGGCCTGGTGTTTCCGCGCTCGGCCCGCCGCCGACAGTACAGCTCTGTGCCGCTCGACTACGGCACGGCGCCTGTGTCCTCGGAGGACCTCAATCAGGGGGACGACGAGGTGAGGACGGCAAGCGGGGCAGAGCTGCTGGATCGCCTCCCCTCCCGGCCCGGCGCGGCAGCGGCCTCAGAGGGGAAGCAACAACCCCCGGAGCCTCCGCGCGCCTCCGACGAAACCGACGCGGAGGAGACGGACCGTCACGAGGCGCTGCATGATGACGTCACGTCCCAGGACCGGACCAAGGAGCGACTGTACGAGGAGGAGATCGAACTGGTCTGGGAGAAGGGCGGTCCGGGCCTGGTCTGGTACACGGACGCTGTCTACTGGGACCAGCAGCGCGGCGACTTTGACGAGCGCACCTCTGACGACTGGGATGTGGATATGTCTGGTTACGAGCAGGGCGCCGGTCACGGTGATATGGACGCTCAACAGTCGCACGAGATGCGCCGCGAGCTGCGTCTGCGTGCTGGTCAGGAGGCCGAGAGTGCGTTCGAGCGGGGACGTGACCGACGTGCACGGGGCCGCCGGACAGGGGACGGGTCGGACAGTGACGAAGAGATGAGCGAGATCGGTGCGTTTGAGCGGCACACCCGCGGATTCGGCCGGCGCGTGCTGGTCAACCTGGGCTGGTCGGAGGGCCGCGGTCTGGGCGCCGGGGAGGGCGGCATCGCCGAGCCGCTGCCCAACGCCGGCCAGACGGATCGCCGCGGGTTTGGCTTTGTCGGTGAGCGGCTGCAGCGGTGGCCCGAGCGAAAACGGCGCGCCGAGTCGGCGGCCGGGGTGGTCACCACGGCGTTCAGCGACCCGCACCAGACCGAGATGGAGGAGACGACGGACGCCTCGCTGCCGCCGACGCACATGAAGTTCCGACGGCAACAGGAGTGACTGCCGGTGTGTGATGACTTCGCTATGAACGCGCTCTAGACGAACACACACGGCGGGGGTGGCCCTGCCGCCGCGTCGAGACGGTGCTAGTAACGCTGATACTAGGGCGTGGGAGAGGACTTTTTGTAACTTGTGTCATCCGTGTCCTGTTGACGTGGCCAACGGTATAAAATAGCCGTACATTTTATTCAGTTGTTAGAATAACATCATAATGCTAAACAATGTTTTATCTTATAATTTTCAACAGCATGATATAATTTGCTCGTAAATCAGAACGCTGTCCTTATCATTTAGAACTGCCTGGGTCTAAACCTATCTACTCGATGTTCTCTGAGCAACGCACTGCCATGAATACATGTTTTAAGCCGCTTCCGTTTGTTGACAATTATTTAGCACATTAACTCCATTCACAGTACACTAATTTCTGCCGCCATAGAGTGCAGAAACGACAAACATGTTTAACCTCGTGTAGCTCGCATTTCACGTTGTCTCCGTGCTCTCCAGTCCTGTATTGTGAGCTTCCCTATTTGTATTACGTAGTTTGATTTTTGCCTCTCTCAGCTCTTCATCACACTCGTTGCTCATTCGCACATTTTAGCATACGTTTTAGACCTTCGTCGTCTGCTCAGTTTTGCTTGACATGCATACAGGCTTTTTCTCACTTTTACTGAGTTGCGTCGCCCCCGATCACTCACTCCCGGCTGAACGTAAACTTTTTTGTTGACTTGGTAGTAGGTCCTAATTGCTTTTAGTTGGTAGTAATTACTCTTAGTGTTCCTTGACGTGTTATAGTAATCTTGCTTACGCTCATGACGTACTTTACTTTTATAATATTGATCAAAATGCATATTTGACTTTCACATAATTTAGTAAATCAGATCGGTTTTCCTGGCCCATTCTAAGACGCAAGCTGAAACGATGTAGACTTGTATTTCTGAGCTTGCAATGAAAGTGAGCTTGCTACCTATCACTTCAGTTATGCTCTTAAATAATGACAGTGCGCGAATGTTGCACGTTGTTACTATTTTGCCGCTCGGTTTTCATCAATACGAGGACCGTGTCCATCGATTCCTCCCACCTATTAGTTCCACCAAATTTTCCAGTGATTTATGGAATCACCAGGCTATGTATTTTCTTTTTGCGTCAATGAATACAGTTTCTCCCCTCGGTTCAAACTGACTTTGTGGCGCCACTTTTCGCAGAAAAAAAACCCGCTGGTGCCATCGCGGGTAAATCTCCGGTCGACTGGTAGCAGAGCTGGCGAACGGCCGCTGGGGCGCCCTCTACTTACCAGCCCCGGCTCAACCAGATGGCGCTGCTGGGCGCATTCCGCTGAGGACCGGCCAGGGGATGCTTACATCGGTGATCTCGGGCGGCAGGACGAAACAGTACAGACAAACAAATCTGTGTGCCGACTCCTGGCGTCCCTCATAGGCGGAACAGGGTGGCTGATCGCTGTGGGCCACGACAGGCGACGATGGCGACCTCTGCGCCTGTGAAGGCCACTGCTCTGGGCGCGCCACACAGGAGATAGAGATGAGCCATCACCCAGCTGTCTACGGCACCATGGACTGTGCGCTGTGCGGCTCGGAGGTGGGCGGGGGCGGCGGCAGCACGGACACGACCCTGCCGTACTCCAAGAAGACGGTGTTTGAGCTGCTGTTTGAGGCGGGCCACCCGGTGCAGAATCGTGCCCGGCTCTGCGATTCCTGCGTGTCGGCTGTGAACGAGCTCGAATGGACCACGTCGCGCGCGGTCCGCGCCCGGGAGAAGATCACGGAGCGAGCTATGATGAAGGTAAGTTACCGACAGGGAGTATAGGGACAACGGGCGTATCTGCGCTATAATATAAATGGGTGCTGTGGATGCCAATGTTTGAACCGAACATGAGAGGAAAACCAATAAAGTCAAAAGGTCAAAGGGATTGATATTAATAATTGATGGTTATGTTATGTGGAATCATAGACCTCTGTACGTCCTGTTGGGTGTACAGACGTCTATGGTTGAATGAATAAAAGTTATATTAGAAATCATAAAAAAGCGAAATGTACGCACTTTCGGCAGTGTCATGATGCCACACTGTTGTCTGTTATGGTCTGACCTTCCTGACTGATTGATGCCGACACGCTATTCAGTTTTTAACGTATAGTTTGTTTGCAGCCCGGCAGCATCGCTGTGAAAGAGCAGGCACAGAGCTCTGAGCAGGGGCCGACTGATCAGTCTGCACCTGATAAACGAGCTGGGGATGACGGCGTGGCTGAGGCGGCGTCAGCACGCGCTCAGCGGCCGCCACGACCGCGCAAAAGCCGAGGTTGGGTGAGACGGCGGCCCAAGGTGCTCGTACGCAGTGAGAGCGACGAGAACACTGAGGACACCTCTGGTGCGCACGCTGGCGGTGCCGGTGGTGACGGTAGTGGAGTGGTGATGCCCGTGGACCCCAGTGCAGTGAAAAAGGAGCCGATGGAGATTGGTGAAACGACGGACGAGGGCGGGGGTGGGGATGGCCCGGCGGCCGGCTCGGCCAGTGTCCCGGGGGTCGCAAAAGAAGCCAAGAACGGTAAACGACCCGACTGGAACGAACGGTGGCGAAGCAGGACTCTAAAAAACACGTCGTGGCGTGAGCGACTGCAGGGAGAGCGCGACAGGAAATTGTTGGAGGCGGAACTGGCTAACCCGCTGACCATTCACCCTACGGAGCGTGCTAGCGAGGAGCCCGGCGCGGCGGCGAACGGCGGCGCCGGCGCGACCTCCTCAGCCGGCGGGGAGGGCGTCGCTCAGCCGCCTGGCGAGAGCATGTTCCGCGTCGGTCGCAAGGTGGTGACGAAGCAAATCGACGGCTCGGCGGCGCCGGCCGTGAAGCTGGTGCACCGTAAGAGCACCGGCCAGTCCAAGGTCACTTTCCTCGACCACAAGAAGGCGATGCGGCACGCGGCGTGGATAGACCGGGTGCAGGCGATGCAGTCTGGTACCACAGTACTAGACATGGCCGGTGACGAGACGGATACACCCACACGGCCGGCCAAGAGGAAGCGGCCGCCGCGCGTGCTAACCAAGCCGCCGACTGAGGAGCCGTGCGCGCTGCCCTCCGAGGTGGCGTGGATGGCGGGTGGGGGTGAGACCGAGTCGCCTTGGCTGGCACCAGAGGGAGCCGTGCACGCAGTGCTTGAGGTGCAGCCCGGCGAGGCCTGGGTGGACGCCATCGTGCGCTCAGAGGCCGCAGAGGACTGGGGCAGTGGAGAGCAGGCGCCGCTGCCCGTCCCGCTGACCAATATAAAGAGCGAGCCGCCCGAGTGACGAAGGCGCGGTGTCGTCTTACCGGCAGGGACGCGGGACATGGCGGCGGTATGTGGTTCTACGGTTGGTGGAGTGATTCCATTGGTTTGACCCTGGATAGTTTCTTAGCCAGTCCGGGTGTAATGAATATGTGCTCAGCTGTCATTTCACTGTCATCTGTAGTAGTTACTTGCTGCCCCACGTCATACGTTTTGATAGAGCGCGGTTCTTGTAGATCGAAGGGCCCTAAGGACTGCTGTCCAAATCGCGTTCCCTTCGGTTAGCATGAATGACCCTGCAACTTGTTAAGGTTACGTTTGGACTTTGGATTCAGCCCAATGAGCCGCGTTTTATTCGTGTTCTAGTACAAACTTGCTAACTGAATCCTAAGATTTCTAATCCAATCCAACGAATCCTAAGATTCTTGCTTTGATACCATATGTGACTGCTCTATTATAGTGTATGATGCTAGTATTAAGTGTTTGTGCGACGTCGTGAATGATGTGCAGTGGAAACTATGTTTTCAGATAGTTTGCCCATTTCTCACTTGAAGTTCAGAGGAATACATTCTTTCCTTGTTTCTGATACATGCTGTATGAATGGAGCATCAGATACTTCGTAGTGAGACAAATACCTACATAACTTACGACTGAAACAAATCGTTCATATGAGACGTGGTATTGATCAATGACGATGACGCTGAATCGACACGAAGTCGGACATAGTACAGGTAAAAACACATTCCCTCCCAACATCAGCCATCCCACAGGACCAAACATTTCCGGTTCCGGTGGAGTTCCAGTCTACCCTCCCCGCCCCCTCCCACGCACTGCGCTACAGCCGGTCGCTCTTGAAGTGTCTGGCGGCGTCGCTGAAGCGCTCCTCCAGCAGGCTGAGCTCCGAGAGCAGGTCCGTGATGGCGTTCATGAGCGCCTCGTCAGGCGTGTAGTCCGACGTCGTCTGGATGCGAAGGATCACCTTGGACTCGAGCGGGTGCGGGTTCTTGTAGCCAGCGAAGATGACGTTCGGGTCCTTGAGCAGCTGGTTACGGATCATGTTACCCATGGTGTGGTCCTCCTTGTTGAAGGTGTAGATGGCCGCGTTGGGCACTTTGGTGTCCTGTTCACGGACGATTTTCTTCTCTCCATCGAACAGAAGGAATGATTCGAATGATGGAGGTGCGTTCATGGTGACTGTGTGATTTCACGGGTTGCAGCTGACTTGCTTAGTGGGTTTTCTTCGAGTCTGAGGTGCTTGAAGTTGCCAGCAATGACCTGCAGGAAAAAAAGACGTTAGCTTTGACCCTCTCCAAAACGGACGGTGATCAAGCCTCTAATGGCATTTTTGTTTGAAATATCTCCAGTTTGGCACAACTTTTGACCCATCTTTCGAAAACATTACCTATTCTGTCATGTTTCACAACAGCTCAGCCCAGGTCACCGAGCCATAACGTCAAATGTCATGTCGTGTTCAGCCGAAGCGTGTTTCTGGACGAGGTTTCCGAACTAACCTAGCGTATAATGTTTATGTAATTCAAACGAGAATTGACATTTATTGATGACCTAAGAGCCGAACGGCTGCCTCGTGGACACGGTATTGTTTATTTATTGGCGCTGAGGCTACGGCTGGCGCAGACTGAGGTTACGTAGGGCCATGCATGGTTTGGGCTATGTAGAGGCCTTGTTACAGATTCAACGCAAAGATTATTACTTTTTTTAGCCATCTAAAAATAAAAAGTCATTGACCCGACCTGCGAAGTCATCAGCTGATCTGAGACTTTCAAACTGAGCAGGTACACTCGGGGGCAGATTGATGTTCCACCACTCCCTACCCATCGGGCTCCCATGGCTCAGCACTGGCTGCTGCAGCAGCCAGTTGTTGCCAGTGTTGCCTGCCCTCAGCACTGCTCAGCACTGCCTGCCAGTGCCAGTGCTGCCAGTTCTGCCACTGGCAGCACCCAGTGCTGAGCCATGGGAGCCCGATGGGTAGGGAGTGGTGGAACATCAATCTGCCCCCGAGTGTACCATTCGTTTCATTTCCTCGGTAAAATGCCTCTTAAAAGGAAAAAAAACTTAGCGATTCTCTCATTCCTACAGCAGAACAGTTCATCTACAAGTTTGAATCTTAGTGTCCAATATAACCCACCTACCCCAAATTGTTTCTGATCAGACTTCATAGGAATTCGGGGAGGGGGGAGCCCTCAAAAACAGGCATCAGGGCATCAAAACAAAACATGGTCTCCATGAGTACATACTTGTTTCAGTCCAGTATTTATTCTCACTCGTTTCCCAATGGTAAGTTTAACAGCTGGAATGCCCTGGCGCTGCCGTCGTGCTTCACCGAGCGCCAGCCCACTGATCTATCCGTCACTGACTAGCCGTTAGAGGTCACCGGTCGACTAATCGCCGTGCCCGTCACTGATCACCAGAGGACTGATAGCCGTCACCGACTGTCATACAACTGACAACAGTCAGTGATCGCCCGACGACTGATAGCCGCTCCAGACCAGCCGAGCAGCCACTGCGTCCTCCACGGCCATCCCGAACGACAGGAACACGCTGATCTTGTCCTTGTCGGCTGCGGCGGAGCCCGACACCAGCTCTCCCACCTCGGCGTGCACCGGCACGCGCACGGGACCGACCTCACTAGCGGCGCCCTCTCGACTGTCGGTGTAGACGGCGGCGCGCTGCAGCAGGGCCGGCTCCAGCTCCGTCTTGTGAGGAACCTTGCCTCCCACTGCGTTGATGTGGACGCCTTTGTCTGGTAGCCAGGAGTCGAACAGGATCGGCTCTGGCGAGGCGGTGGTGGTGTTGATGACGTCAGCGCCGGCGACACACAGCTGCGCCGACTCGCTGTGCACGAACCGCACGGCCGGGTACTGCTGAGACAGAGACTCCACCAGCTCACCAGTAGCCGCTCGGTTCCGGCCCCACAACCGCACCTCCTTGACTCCATCACTGGCCTCCAGGAACGCCTCTGCGTGTGAGCGCGCCTGGACGCCCGAGCCGAGGATGGCCAGCACGCTGGAGCGCGCCGCCAGGTGGCGCGTGGCCGCCACGGAGGCGGCCGCTGTGCGCCGGGCGGTGATACACTCTCCACTCATCAGCGCAAGCAGTGATCCATCTGCGGGACTGTGCACCAGTATTGTCGATTGTATCTTGGGTAGGTTGACGTTCTCGGGGAATGACGTCACCAGCTTGGTGGCAATGATGTCAGCACTCTTACTGAAGGCTGACATCGAGCCGAACCACCCGGAGCCGGGCGGGAGGAAGAAACTGGAGCGCACCGGCTGCTGCACGGACCCGTCCCGGCGCGAGTAGTCGGCCAGGCTGCGCTCAACAGCATCCACCAGCGGCCGCCAGGGCAGCAGCGCCTCTACGGCGCTATCGTCCAGGAACGGCGGCGCGCCGGCCATCTCAGCAACGTCCGACCGCTGCTCACTGCTGAGCACCAGCGCTGCCGGCAGACGGGCGGCCGCCGCTCAGCACCAGCGCGCTCCAAAATCAGTCGTGACCCGGTCGTCCCTCACGGCGTTGGACACGGAAGTTTTCGGGTTATTTAGGTCACATGGATGGTTCCCAGCGTACCACATATTCTCTTTAGAATATATCTATTTAGTGAAGGCTGATTTGGATGCTCTAAAATTAATGTCCTTGGTGAATGAAACTTCAAAGACCAGTATGAATCCTTTCTGATTGATGGTACCCATTCATACAAATGAGATCTGTTTCTAATTTCTGGACCACTGTGGGGATCAAGATGTTGTGGCAAGGCATGCTACATATGCTCTTCTGTAAGTTATTTGTTATTTGTGACAAAATGCAGTCACATAGGTATCTGCCAACATTCATATGGGTTTTATTCAATGATTTGCTGTGTGCAGTGCAGGCACCAGTCTGCAAAATATGACAGGGTTAGACAGGATCTTGTCAGGACAAACTCTGTGGGGCCGGGGCAGATAGCAGAACAGCCCTTGGAAAGTCAGGGCAGAGTTAAGAAATTTCTGGGCTGCTGACCACTTAGGTACAGTTGAGGCCTGAGGTAAGCCGGAGTAGTGCCAGTACCAAGAACTGAAAACAGCAAATGCAGTATTGTTGAAACTGTTCAAGTGCCCAAGAAAAAGTGATATAGGCCACAGTCACTGTTGAGTGTGGAGACTGGAGGTGCAGAAATCATCACTACATAATTACTGCCATAACCATTGAGCTAAGATTTCCCACAGGCCACACTAAATGGTCGGACACATCTCTGTGTAAATCAACTCTTACCGTGATAATTCGTTATCGTTATCCAGCACTCACGACATAGGCGTCGCCAGAGATTTTCGGTTGGGGGGGCAAAATCAACTTTTGTGTCAAAACTTGCCTTTCCCCAGTCTTAAATCACTCATTTTACATATCATTCGACGCGCAATGGTGCGAGGAATCCCATGGTGACAAAGGTTTCCTTCTAGCTATGACATGTAATTTTTTTACAGAAAAATTCGAAATTTTGAAATTTCATAACAAAACGACTGGTAGAATTATAGTGGCTGCGATTGCCGACGCACTGCAGAGGGGCGAGGGCCCCTGTGCAGACGCTCGACGCTCATGATCATTACCTACCCATTAAGAGGTGAAAAACGCTCCATTTGATCGGATCACCCTGCTAAAACCTCCATTCACGCATGCATGCAGATATTTTACGTGAAATGCATAGGACTTATCCCAGCCGCCGATCGTAGCTGAGTTGGGCATTCGGCGGAGAGTGAATGTGTGAAGTGTGAATCGGAAGTAATTCACCTTTGCTCCAGTGAGAGGAAGTGTTTTGTTCACTCGAGTGTGAACATGTTTTGTTCACTCGAGTGTGAACAAAAGTTTCTCGTTTTTCGTGTGAAGGGAAGCGCTGCAAACGTGAACAAAAACTGTTAAACAGAACGAAAAGTTACGCACGGCATAGCGGCAAGGGATCCCTTAGAGATAGGTTTGTGACTTCCAGGCCATTTCAGGCCACTCAGGGTCAGTGCTGACTCTCAGAAGCCTGCTTAGGATCCCGGAGATCGACGTGGGTCACCTCAAATATTTACGCGTACGTGGTGCCTTAGGGCTTTTCGAGCCCAAGGTGGGGTCCTCAGAAGCCAGTGTGGGCGGCGAGCGCTAAGAGACTAGGCCCAGGGTGAGCCTGGAGCCCTCGGATAGCAGTGTGAACCCTCGGGGTCTATGTCGAATCCCTAAGGACCCTACGTAGGGACATAATAAACATGTGTTGCGGACCTCAGGGACAGGTCCGCTCAGGGACACGTGAGCTGTGACCCCGCAGATGCCGGCTTGGGGTTGGCAAAGTCTGTCGCCTCAAAAATTTGGCTGAACTATCAGAGGCCAGTTAAGGTTCTCAGAAATGTTCGAAGGCTCAAAGATCCCTGTATGGGCCCTCAGAGAACATGGACACCAGTGGGGCTTTCAGAGGCCGGTTTGGGCCCTCTGAAAGCTTCTTTAGGGCTCAGTGGAGTGTACAGTCTGTCTTAAAAGTACCGCGCAAAGTGACGGTGGATCCATCAAGCCTGACTGAGGTAGGTCATGCTATAATTTGAAAGTCACCGAACCAATTGACCTAGGGAATGGACGAGGATGTGAATTGCTTCAGTGACTCAAATTTAGTAGGCCCTTCCTCGGTCAGGCATGATGGATCCACCGTCACTTTGCGCGGTACTTTTAAGACAGACTGTACGGTACTTGAGCCTGTCGCAGACATTTGACGAGAGTTGAGAAAGGCCCCGAAGATTTCGTTTCACGCTTTGAACGAAAATTGTGTCAGCACTCCAAAACTTATGAAAATCAGCTGTAAAATGTAATAAAGAACGAACTAGAAACATGTAATGAATCACATCATTGACATTTCCGAGTCTGGACTTGGAGTCGATTCCAGGACAAATCTTCGTATGGCATTTCTTCGTCGCGCAATTCTTCGTCCGCATTTCTTCGTCCGCAAATCTTCGTCGGCGCATTTATTCGTGTCGCATTACTTCGTCTCGCATTTCTTCGTAGGTGCAAAAATTCGTAGCGCATTTCTTCGTATCCGCATTTCTTCGTCGGCGCATTTCTTCGTCAAGCATTTTTTCGTCCACGCATTTCTTCGTCTACGCAAATCTTCGTCCGCATTTCTTCGTCCACGCAAATCGTCGTCTGCGCAAATCTTCGTCCGCAAATCTTCGTCTCCGCAAATCTTCGTCCGCAAATCTTCGTCCGCATTTTTTCGTCCACGCATTTCTTCGTCTACGCAAATCTTCGTCCGCATTTCTTCGTCCACGCAAATCTTCGTCCCCGCAAATCTTCGTCCGCAAATCTTCGTCCGCAAATCTTCGTCCGCAAATTTTCGTCCGCATTTTTCGTCCACGCATTTCTTCGTCCAATCAAATCTTCGTCCGCAAATCTTCGTCCGCAAATCTTTGTCTGCGCTATCTTCGTCTCCGCAAACATTCGTCCACAAATGTGGTTCAATAAAACCATGAAAAAATATCAGACAGTCAAGTAAATGACGAATTTAATGCAAGGAATGGATAATCAAAACTTTTGAAGACAGGTAGATGAGGTCAGTCAGGTGAAGCTATTGTATTTGGGAGCCGACAATCGTAACATTCCTCATTTGTGTCCCGGACATTCTTTTTTTTTGCGGTCGTTGAATGACAATATAATCTCTTGTACCCTCGCCGGCATAGGCGGCGGAACGGGGAGGGCACCGGGGCACCGTTCCCCTCTTTAATTTTGGCCTTTTAACAGTAGCCCTATGGACGTTGCATGGAAAGCATATTGGACCAAAAGTCGGCAGTGCCGTGCCCGCTACTGCCCGCCGGGCCTATTTGTTTTCTACGGTACACGCCGGCCGAGGGGGCGGGTACGACCCCCCCCCCCCCATCGCCGTTTCGCCACTGGTGGAGCTAGCGCGTCGCGGAAAAAATACGAGCGTGTGCGCCGTTACGAGCCGCAGAGATTAATACCCGATTTTAAGGCCTTCTAGGTCAGCGGTCGGCATACGGCCCGCGGGCCGGATCCGGCCAGGTGGGTGACGGTTGGATCCGGCCCGCGACCAGCTGACGTCCGGCCCGCGGCTGGTATCAGCGACTTACATCGTGTTCCGGCCCGCGGTTCCTTCATAAATCGACTCCGATATAAAAGTGACTCAAATGTGCTTTGGCACAACAGTTCTTCCTTCGCACACTTCATGAGTTTATAAACACCATTTGCGGGTGTTTTTGTCTAATTCTACTTCTAGACAAAACTTGCAACGGTAAGATTTGGTCAGCAGCTTTTGCGCGCAGCATCAACGACTGCTGCAGCTGCGTGCACTTGGCGGCTTCACGTGGTCTACTCGCTTAACCTTCCAGGCGGTGTGTGTGTGTGTGGGGGGGGGGGGGGGGGGGCGGGCCGGAACACGATGTAAGTCGCTGATACCAGCCGCGGGCCGGACGTCAGATGGTCGCGGGCCGGATCCAACCGTCACCCACCTTGCCGGATCCGGCCCGCGGGCCGTATGCCGACCCCTGACCTAGAAGGCCTTAAAATCGGGTATTAATCTCTGCGGCTCGTAACGGCGCACACGCTCGTTTTTTCCGCGACGCGCTAGCTCCACCAGTGGCGAAACGGCGATGGGGGGGGGGGGGGGGGTCGTACCCGCCCCCTCGGCCGGCGTGTACCGTAGAAAACAAATAGGTCCGGCGGGCAGTAGCGGCGGAACATCTTCAATTAAGGGGGGCACGGCACTGCCGACTTTTGGTCCAATATGCTTTCCATGCAACGCCCATAGGGCTACTGTTAAAAGGCCAAAATTAAAGAGGGGAACGGTGCCCCGGTGCCCTCCCCGTTCCGCCGCCTATGCCGGCGAGGGTACAAGAGATTATATTGTCGTTCAACGACCGCGAAAAAAAAGAATGTCCGGGACACAAATGATATGGAATGTTACGATTGTCGGCTCCAAATACAATAGCTTAACACCTGACTGACCTCATCTACCTGACATCATCCATTCCATGCATCAAATTCGTCATTCACTTGACTGTCTGATATTTCTTCATGCTTTTATTGAACCACATTTGTGGACGAGTGTTTGCGGAGACGAAGATAGCGCAGACAAAGATTTGCGGACGAAGATTTGCGGACGAAGATTTGATTGGACGAAGAAATGCGTGGACGAAAAATGCGGACAAAAATTTGCGGACGAAGATTTGCGGACGAAGATTTGCGGACGAAGATTTGCGGACGAAGATTTGCGGGGACGAAGATTTGCGTGGACGAAGAAATGCGGACGAAGATTTGCGTAGACGAAGAAATGCGTGGACGAAAAAATGCAGACGAAGATTTGCGGACGAAGATTTGCGGAGACGAAGATTTGCGGACGAAGATTTGCGCAGACGAAGATTTGCGTGGACGAAGAAATGCGGACGAAGATTTGCGTAGACGAAGAAATGCGTGGACGAAAAAATGCTTGACGAAGAAATGCGCCGACGAAGAAATGCGGATACGAAGAAATGCGCTACGAATTTTTGCACCTACGAAGAAATGCGAGACGAAGTAATGCGACACGAATAAATGCGCCGACGAAGATTTGCGGACGAAGAAATGCGGACGAAATATTGCGCGACGAAGAAATGCCATACGAAGATTTGTCCGGTTACGCTTGGAGTCTTGAAGACTTTGGCGACTGCGAGTCAGACTCTGGTTTGAACTGCACGCTCCAACCGAGTCTGACCTCACAGGCATTCTCAGAAAGGTACCCCCCCCCCCATTTTTTCCCGACTCCAAAATCTCATCGGATCTGTATCGATCTCAGGGGGTGCCCGGTCCGAGGTTGGGGGGGCAAGCTGCCCCGCTTGCCCCCCCGTGGCGACGCTAATGACTCACGACACCCACAAAAATTCCTCAAATTCGCAGTAATAAACTCTTGAATAAACTCATCAACTCAACAATTCAAACGACGACACACGGGCTCTCTCTATCGTCTGGAGGTTTCGAAAGATGCTCTCCAGAGATGGCGCTAGTAAGTTTGGTTGACATGACGTCATGCTTAAAAGTGATGAGTTTTGTGAGAGCAAATGTAATAATAGTTGAAAATTTTGTACTTTTGCTTATTTGAGAAAAAATAAATATACAATTGTTCAAAACAGCATTTTCCTCATTCATCCTTCATTGTTTTAAGAGGAATAAAGACAGTTTAAATCTTTTTTCTTGGCCGCAATTCGCACACGCACTAAATTAAAAGCTGGAGTTTTGTGCGTTCGTAAATTGTGATTTGAGAAAATAAATTGACAATAATCTTTTGGCATTTTGCTTTACAATCATTTTTCAATGCAGATATATGCATAAATTATTCAAAAATAGGCATATCTTTGAAATATTATGATTTTCCACAAACAAATTTTTCCAAAAATCTGAACTACTTACAACTGACGAACGCATCCAATAATCTGGATGTCTTAGGATGAGTTCGTCATTTTTTCCCAAGGAAAAACGATACAGTTTAAGCTACTTTACCGATTTATTAGGGTACTTTTGCCAATGAATTAATAAATAAATAAATGACAACAATTAATCTCATTATCAACCATACTCGGAAGAATTTTCTTCGCATAAGCGCGAACACATCCGCGCTTTCATGAAAAGTAGCGCCTGTAGATGTCAGGACTGCTGCTTTATGTTTCGCAAGGTGGCGCAGCGCGCAGCCCGCAGGGTACCGACTACCGAGGCTGAGGTCTCCAGACTCTCTCCGAGTCTCCACCACGATTTAGCTTGGAAATGGCCAATGGGGAAGGCCTCACCCAAAAAAACGGACGCCCTTTACACAGCTGCATAACGAGAATGAATTATTGGCATAGATGACCATACGTCCCCTCCCCCTCTCCGCCCCAGCTCAATTGGAAATATCGCCTATTTTCCTTAGTCATTTATATTCTGACTAATTTCTCACTCTTCCCAGTAAACCTTAACATGCATGATGCAGATGTCCACTGCGTAAGTCGTGTGCTTGCGTAAGTGTGCCAACTATATAGTGCTGCCTACACTCTACCTAGTGCCTACTGCTTCCACCATTGTCGTTATAATTGGTGATTCTCAGGTCAAAAGTTACACAGTGGTCTCAGAGAACAATCGTTTCAACAAATTAACGATTCAAACCGTTGCATTCTGCTTATATTCCGGTCAGTTCTGCTACTAAACGATTCCGGCAAAACACTCTTTAGGTTATGTATTAGCGAACCACCACACAAAATTCGCCCAATCAATGGTCAGTTATTACTGCTGGGCTGAACCGTCATACGCTATATAGCCTATTGCAGTCAATATTTTCAGAACGATACCGACTGACGAAACACAACGTATTCGCGGATTCGCACATACGTTGGCACCCAGGTGGCCTGTCAGCAGCCGCACAAATTGAGATGGTACACCGTAAAGCATGCCTTTCCACACAGGCACAAGCACAGGGACACAAATTCTCAAAATCCAAACTTATTCCAATACTGGTCAAATACGAGACGGGACGAGGCATAAAGTTTTGAGGTTTTCTCATGTTCATTCTTCTTTCAACACACGCGGCAGACTGCAGCAGAACATCTCACAGAGCTGCGCTGGATGCAGTCATGAGCTGGGACACGGTTTGTGACCAATGACCGATCGGGGGTGCCAGCCTCCTCCCGGCACGCGATGCACTGGCCGCCGCGCAGTCGATGTCGGGGCACCGCCGGCATTCGCCGACAGGGTTCCATCCGATTCGGTGTATTGGTGGCAACCCGAACAGTGACCCACGCGAAGCTGGTGGACGTCGATGGCCAATGAGCGATGCCCTTCCGCGACCGGCGGTGGCAGTCGGTCCCACATCAAGAACAGATACCAGTCATGCGGTCAGTCGGCGACGGCGCGGTCGCGAGCCGATCTGATGGTCGCACGGTGGGCGTTGCCGACGTCCACCGGACCGTCGACTGGGGGAGCGCGGCCGCCTCTTGGCCGCCGCCTCTGGTCGGCGCGCTCGTTGCGCTGTGGGACGGCATCCACTGCAAGTCGTTCACTGTGAAGCGGTCGTTTGACCGGACCTGGCAGGCGGGGAAAGGGGGCCTCAGATGAAGTAAAACCATCCCTCGGCCTCAGGCCAGCTTGAGCTGGCTCTCCACCTCACCATGTTAGATAAGCGGACACCCTCGTGATCATCGCAGCGATGATTGTCAATTGGTGTGTCATTATGGGAGAGGATGCCAGCCTCCTTTGCAAGATAGTCTGCCTTTAATATAGTGCAGCCCGACCCATTGCCTGTGGCAGCAGACTGGGCTTGATAATGCAGTGCAGGACACACCAAACGTAAGCGGCCATCTGTACCCCCTGTGCAGTAGGGCTGACTCAAGAGCCCAGAGTTGCCCTCCCCCCACCATTCTGTGCACGTGATAACTGGATGGGACATGCCATGGTCAGCATCTGTTCAAAAGCTGCCCTAAGCATGTAAAGATCCACTGGCATGCTCGAGCATGGTCACAGTCAGTTCTCACTTCTCAGTTGAACCTCCAATGGAAACCCATCACAAAGTGTAGAGATCAGGGCGCCTCTCACACTGCAGCACACTCAACGACTGAGGCACCATCTCATCACTTGCAGGTGGTTCTTGCCAGGAGCAATGCCAGCCACGCACATCAGGTGATAACAGCAGTGTACAACTGCAATCTACAAGCATCCATGTTCTTTCTGGTTTTCTCCTGTTGAGATCCACTGCCATGCATGAACTTGATGGGTTTTTGTTGCACTCCTCCCATGTGCAGACAGGTTTCTGCTGAAACAAAGCAAAGCAAATGTGATTAATAATGGCCCTGTTTTCACCATCCAGACACTGTGTGCACTGGTAGCTACGGCATACCATAGCATCACTCAAATGACGCTGCATGTGATCTCTTAGTTTATGATGAATCGTGTTTGGAACAGAGTGAGAGGTTCTGAAAAACCGTACCAAGAACAGAGGTTTGAGTTCAAATACTGCTAGCATGCTGCTGGACGCTGGTGCTGGTACCGCAGCGTGCTAGCGTTCTGGGATGCTGTCATAGCTTAGCGTCACAGTGAAGTTTGTTGACACTGCCATGGAAACCCAATGCTCTGACACACGCAGCGCACTGCAGTGCTCTGCCGTGAAACACCACCCATGAACGCTGGTTGCATGACCAGGATCGGAGCAGTGTGGCAAACAGTGATTTTAATTTTAATTGCACTTCCTAGAGATTAACAAGTTGTTGGTGAAATTGCTATTCATTATTCCTATTACCATTGTCTAAATTTCACATTTCAAGACAGCATCAGCATTGACGTGTTATATAAAAAAAAGGTTTAGACTTCAGGTGGTCCCGGGTTCAGCTATTAAGTAGAACAAGGGCAAAATATTGTCAAAAAAAAATATTTTTAAAAAATACCTGCCTTCATCAACACCTCATCTAATCACATATCTCAATACAATCAAACAACAAGGCCCTAAAAGCAAAAACCGTTTGAATAACAATGAAATATTTTGCAACCGCTGCACCATTACTGTCACGTACGCTATCCCTAGATTGGTTGCTGGTAAGCAGTGGTTGTCGTCATCAACTCGTCATGCAGCAGCTGATTGGGATGGGCGGGGCCTATTTTTATCCAGACGATAGAGAGAGCCGACACACGCGCCGAAAACGCACAAAGTCATTCGCCTTCCTTTTCTCAATATTCGCAGCAACGTTAAAGCTGTTTTTGACGTCATAGTTTTTTGCAAATCAAAAAGCTACTTCAGCAAAATCTACCCTTTGATTGGCTCGCTTTTTGATCTTTCCTCTAAATGACGTCATAAGAAAAAGAATTGCAAACTTTCAGCTCATACCACATTTAGGTTAACAGCTCAGTAAAAAAAGGTGAAGTGACTTCTCATGCGTAAAGATATTATGTCACAAAATCTCTCTTACAATATGCTGTATATTCTTGTTTTTTTTTTCAAATTCTCTTTTCTCTATGCTATTTTTGACTTTATATGATGTTTTTAAATATTATACTGAAACATGATGAATTTAGGGCATGTGCTTCAGTTTGACTTCCTTTACAGGATGATAATTTGTCAAAACTCATGACATCAAATAAAATATACCACCCCTGCTTTGACCGGATAAAAACAAACACAACATTTCTTGTGTGTTGCCGCCGTGCTGTGTGTTGGTGTGTTGTAGTGGACATGCCTAAGAGCTGGACTTTTTGCACGCGTTCCCCGCCAGGGGGCGCCACTGAGGAAGCACCCTCTGACGTCACGATAAAACTGCGCGCACTGTGCGCACGGTTCTGTAAGCAAGTAATATAGTGGTGGTTTCATGGTGGAAATTGGAATAAGTATTTTGACGTTGTAAAATTTTAAGCCGTTTTTGTGAAATTAATTGGTAAATGCATTTCAAAAGTATTTATTTAAAGTGTGAAAGGAGAATAATTTGGAGAATATGGATATTTTTGTTCCAATAGCTTATTATGTGAGACATGATCGGTACTAACGGGTACTTCTAAGAAGTAGTGAAGAAGTACCAAACAGCCTGCTCGGCTACGATCGTCAGCTGTCCTTTGGAGCTGGACTTCAACGCTGTAAAAAAAATATGTGCTGAATTAATTTTTAGTTTCACCAAAATATGAGCAATTTATCATTTCTTTTTCATTTTTGTAATTATTGTTGAGTGAAGAGATATGTTGCTAGTTCTGACAATATAAATTATTAATTAAAAAAACGAAATGCGACGGTAAGTATCTGCTACTAAATTATCACTAAAACCAAATACATGAAGAATCTTGCTACCATTGCTTATAAAACGTGCTTATCAATACACAAATGTTTTATTTCAGACGAGAAGGATTCATTTGCCTGAAGTCTTGCGTCATGTGCTACTGCTTTGATTCCAAAGACGCTCTCCGGGTCGGGGTAATTTAGTTCTTCATCGATCGATAAGATTTTGATTCCATTGATATCCAAATTTCCCACAGCCGGCAATGGGAATCTCCTGTCGGTGTAAACGCCACGATAGTCCCATCCAACTCAAACACTGGGG